GGTGGTTTGATGAGTGGTGTATGATGAGTGGTGTATGATGAGTGGTGTATGATGAGTGGTGGTTGAACAGCTGTTGAATGTCCGTAACACGGAAGTTTTGCACACTAAACTTCCTTTGATCAACCACAATACATGAATCAAATAAAGTCACGATTCGCATCAAGCAGCGCCTTGCGATCAACACCAGCCGCTAAGAGCAAGCTCTGAGCTCCCCGAGGTGGGAGCCTAGGTCGAAAGGGTCGAGAAGCGACCACCATGGGGTGCCCATGGTATAGGATCGCTATCCATGGAGTGCCCTTCGCAATTCCATGCTATTCCTCTACAATTTGGCCACTTCAAGTTCAAGGTCTGTTGATTCACGCCCCAATCCAGTGCAACTTTCAGAAAAGTACAGGGTTCCCGTCACACACACACAGAAAGCAAGCACATAATCCTCACTGCATATGAGATGGGGGGCGATACCCTGTTCGGCTCAGCGCATGACCATAGTGAGCGGACTCCTTGTCCACTTGACCTGAGCCAGGCCACGAAAAAATACTTGAGCTTTCTAAGACTTTAAAGATGGACGCATACTAAGTACATACCGGAAGATCATCATCTTAAAAATTACGCATTTCCGTCCATGTGTCTGAAAGCATCTTGAGTAGGCGGCAACAGTGACATGCTTGCGCATGCACACAGAGCGAGCAAAGCTCCAAACAAAGCTCTGCAGAAAGACCCTTGGCCGTGCGTCAAAAGACCCTTGGCTCTTAAATCCGTGCAAAGTTGCGCTCTTCCTTCCGCCCAACACGTGATCTGCACAGTTCTCAGCCATGACATTCGGTCGGCACTGTGTCTTGGCTTGCTTCGCACAAGTCGAGGCGGAGCCCGACTTCACACGGAGTGATGCTGTCTGGGATAACCGCTTTAGGATAAACGACGAGACTTGTTTTCGGGTTGAGGGGCGGAGCACCAGCGACATGAGGGACGGGCGTGATGACTTCGAAACTTGGAAAGCATGTTGGTAGTTTTGACGAAGCAAAGCGTGGTGGCAGCTTGCCTTGCTGCTTACGTGAGTGTGGGATGCTTAGGCCAATTGTTTTCTTTCCTCTGATTGTGCCACTGCAAACAGGAAGAAACATCGCTCTTCTATTCTTCAATGTCAAGTTTCTACAAGGCCAAAACTGGGCCAGGACCTTTTGCAAAACACTTTTCACTAACTGTTCACAGCATTTAACCCGAACCGAGAAACGAGATCCTAGTCACGGCATGTCGCAGTAAGATGCGCGTTGGCAAATGCGTGGTAAATGTAGTCCCGTTGTCGTAGTCTTCAATGCATTCCGAGCACATGCAAATACTACGACTAGTCTGGCTAGAAGATACCATGTTACACCATGTATACTAGATACTAGTAGTTACTAGTAGAGACAAAATGATACTAGAGTACTTGGACTAGCATGTTGCACCTTGGCGCAACGCGAACTAAGCATTCCGCGTTGGCAGCTCGAAGTTAGCACCTTGCTCTCTCGGTTCTCTGGGTGCAAAATTTGTCCTTTCGAACCCCGGTGACCCTCCTTCACGCCGTGTGCTTCCCCAGAGGATACACATCTCGCTCATGTTTATTCATTTTTGGGGAAAGCACACTAAATACGACACAAAAACAAAACCAGATCTAACCAGAAAGAATTCCTCTGCGGCCTGGCATCCCTTATAAGTCTTGCCAGCAGCACGTCCGAGCTCGATCAAGCTGGGGACGCTCAAGGCCTTTCATGTCAAACTGTCCAAAAACAATCTCTCTGTAAGTACTTTCATAGGGGATATGCAGAAAGTACTTCTTCGGGTAGTTATTTGCAGGGGTGGGTTGGGGTCGGGTGGGTGGGATGGGTGGGGTGGGGCTTAACAACATTGACTTCGACTATCATATCAAACCCTTCTGGTCTTGAGGTGGGGTGGGGTTGGGGGGAACTTGGATCGTTGGAAGTATTTCTCAAAGTGCGGCTTTACTTGACTGTCAGCCCACATGGTTTATCTACAGCGAGTCAGAAGAGATCCACATTGCGAAACACGAGCGACCCCCCGCCCTAACCTAATTCTGAAATAATTGTTCTAAAGAGTTTAGGTAAATGATGGTGAATGCGTCAAAACGTCAAAGCTGGGTATCGAAGACCGAAGGCCTCCTTGGGCTTGTCGTCGGTGGCTTCGGTCAAGAAGAGGGTCAAACATGATCCTGTCGGTTTTCTGATCGTCACCGGGCTTTCAGCATCTTTCAGCCGGTTCTCGCTTGAAAAAAGTGTCGCTTTCAGCCAGACTTGCCATTCGATTCGGATCCGTTCGACAAATTCTAGTCCCACATGACTCACATGTGGAGGTGTTTGCTGGGACACCTGCAAGTTGTCATCGAATAGCAGTTACACTAGGGTCCCGGATCCTGGATGGTCAATTAGGCTTTCCCACCGCCCATCACATCCTACTGTACAAGAATGTCTGCATCTCATGCGCACGGTCTAGATCCGCATAAAGGATGAAGTCGGAAAATTAGCTGAGACAAACAAATACACAAATATACAAATGGGCAACTTGTCTTACTTGGCTTGACTTGTCCCATCCTTGCGCCACATCGAACAAGGCTACTTCGTTGAAGCGGGAACCCAAGGCCTTAGCCACATCTAAGCGGTTCTTCAACCGTTTCTAAACACATTCTAAACAGGAAGAGAAAAGAAAGACCAAAGTAAAACAGGTATATATAAAACTGCAAAACATATTAGGAACAAGCGGAACGTGACACTTTCCGAACGTTCTCAATCAAAGGTTCTGGATGCTTGGCGTGTTGTGGTGTCCAAGACGTGATTGAAAGGCGTTGCAGAGTGAAGGGGCTAAACAACTGGAAGCCTCTGGAAGCCTGGTAGTTATCCATTTAAAAAACAACTTCTGCGTTCGTGTTTGTATTTCTTGCGGGGTTCTGTGGGCTCTGGCGCGGGGTCTTGCGAAAAGAGTTCCCTTGAAGGGTTACCCTTCGCATGTTTTACGGAATATAGAAGAAACACCTAACAGTTTGTTCTTCTTTCTTTTCTTCCCTCCCTTTGCTATATACAGATTGGACGGATTGGATATCTATTCAATTCGTTGCAAGCACAACCCGTCTGACACATCTCAAGCGGTACAATAACCTTTCATCGTCCAAACAGCAAAGTAGCGAAGTTGTCTTTCTTGAAGCTGCAAATAACTGTCATCCCTGAGTGCTCTGGTGATCTTCTCTGAACTCCACCCTCTTCCGCTTGTGCGTTGTGACGACTTCGGTCAGGTGGCTGCAAAAACGCCGTGAGAAGAAGCCACGTCGGCACTCCTGTTCTGAGATCTGCGGGCCGTTGGAACGGAACACCAGTGAACCCCTCCGTATGAAGAATAAGGGACATGACATATCCATTTCAAGTCCTCCGCAAAAATTGATGTGCCAAAAGCAATTTGTCACCAGGCACAACCTTTTGGGAATGTACATGGATGTGACGCACATTTGGCTGTTGCCTCGTGTCGCTTCAAACCAAATCAAAGCCAAGAACTCAACACGCGCAGCTTCAATCGCGGCCATCTCCTCAAATCCATAATGCCAGCTCTCGACGAGACCTGGACTGAAATTTGACAAGATGGAAGGCGTTTTGCTGCCGCTATGCTTCTACATGCTTCTCTATTCAACAACTAAAACACCAGCAAATCCAAAAAACAATTAAAGAAACAAATCGTCACAACGTGCCTTCCACTGCTTCCAGGGGCTCAAGAAGCGGAGATCGTAGAGCAGCAAGGCGCCGCCTGCAAAAAACCAAAGGATTTCGAGGCACAGCACATCGCTCGCTTGATGTAAAACACTATGTAATTACAACCAGTCTGTTACTATGTATTGCTAGGTTGGAGGCCATCGCTAGTAGGTGCAAAACTGTACTATGTATGTACTAAAGCGATATAGAGACTGGAGCAAGAAGGTCTTACCTTTTTGCCCCCCTTCGCAATAGTACCAGGCGTTTTGCCCAGTGTTTCGGATGCCAAGGCCACTTGCATCCTGAAACTTCCCCAAACGGCACGACTCGGCACGACCAAATAAGTCTGGTGCAGTGTTGCACTGCAGTGCCTGACAGTGCCTGAAAAGGATCAATATTGACCACCCCAAGTCATGAAAAACTCCATGACGAATCCGTGCAAGCAATTATCAGCTGCTTTTATCATGTATTACACACGTACGTGACGAATTAGGAGCCGCAGTTCTCGCATGAATACCTGAGCAAGTCTGGAGATGGGGGTGGTCTGCAAACTCACTTTGTTACTCGTAGCTTATTGTTCCTAATAGCTGCTTGTTACTACTAGTAAGGCACTTGTTACTAGAAGCGATGCACTTGTTACTAGTAGCTTCTTGTTCCTATTATTCAAAGAATTAGGACAATCTCAGTGATCCGATCGTTGTGGAATCGAGGCAAACATCGGGAGACGAGAAACAAACACGCATGACCCAGTCAAACAGGCTCGACAAGGCCGAGACGCTTGGGTTTTTGTGCATTCAGCGACTGGATCACTGTCTTCTCCATCTCCGAATCCTTCCTGGACTGCCGAGAACAATTTGACACATTGCACATTGTAGCACTGTGAAAAACCTCTGGACGCTTGAAGGCGGGCCGCCCCTTGAAATTATCATTTAATTGTGAGTCAGTGTGGGTTTCCATGCTGATGCCTTTCCCACATAGTGTTGCCTTTCTCTGAACGTGCCAATTGCTGATCCAATCCCAAGTCACTTCAATGCCTTGACGTCCACGGTAAACTTGATGGCATCGGCGGCGGCCTTTGTCCTCAAGTAGTAGAGACCTGTCAGGCGACATTTTTGAGGACACCAAGCACTTGAGACAAAAAGACAGAAAGAAGAGCAGTCAGTCAGCAAACAACTTGTGGAGAAAGAACACCAAAAGTGACACCAGAACAGTCAAAGGCTGTGTTGTCACATGAAGAACGGCTGAACATGGGTGTTGCTTTTTGGGATGGGGACGGACTGTCGGACGGAGCATCGGACACATCTATATAATTCATTCTAAGAGCGGCCTCCAACCCAAGAGCGATGGCCTCCAATCTAGTAGCTTCTTTTTCCTAGTAGTAAGGCCAGGAGCCCCTAGTAGCGATGCCCTTTGTTACTAGTAGCTTCTTTGTTTCTAAGAGCGATGGCCTCCAAAGGTGGTCTTTTGCTGAAACAAACCGAGGAAGGTCCTTCGACACTTGGTGCCTGTCTTCAGTCCCAACTCCCAGCCATGGAAATGCATCGATGCGAGCTTCGCGGTGGTCGCGTTCACCATGTGGATGTTCCTGAACTTTAGGAGCAAGGACGCTACTAGTCGCTCCTTGCATCGCTACTAGTAACAAGAAGCTACTAGTAGCTCCTGGCATTACTACTAAGAGCAAGGACGCTACTAGGAGCCCCACTGACTGCGACTGGCCGATGGGCTTTGACATTCGACCGGACTATCTTGGACAAATGTCACGCTGAACGAAAAACACTCAAGTGAAGTGATCCATGGTTTGGTTCTTAACGTTCACTAACTGCAGTCGCTACCCGTGCTTGATTGGTTTTGAGAAAAATAGAGTTCCAGCATCCCTGCTGCTGGAAACCCAGCTATGGAAAGAGACGAATAAAAACAACATCTCAGACTGCGGCCAGAGGGCTTTGCTGGACTCCCCACTCAAAAGCGTTTAGGTTGTGAGACCGTCGCTTTGGCATGAATGAAACAGAAATTGACCATGGAACATCATGGAACAATGTGAAGGTCACAACTAAACCATGTATGGCTGAGAAGGCCAGAGTCCATGCAACATTAGGAAGTGAAGCACAAGCAAAGACAACGAAATATGCGGCTCTCAGTGCGTATGAGTGTCAGTTCTGAGTTGTACACTCTTGTATTTTCCTAAAAATCTAGGAACCATACAAATAGTGTGAGCGTGAGCTATTTGCGTCCCAGTTAGGAGCTTATCTCCTTACTAAGTAGGCGCCTATAACTTAAGGGCTAGGGCCACTCCGGTTTAAAAGAAAGAGCCTAAAGAGCTCTATCCTCAAGACAACTTTGTTCCTGACAACTTGGTTGTGTTAACATGTTAACTTGCATTGGAAGCTTCAGTGACTGGGACTGGTCGATGAAGGCACCCCGATCTGCTGCCATGTCCAAAATACGCTTCTGCTTGATCTCCCAAACGGTCTTGTAGAGCTCCTCTCCGAGTCCGGTACAAATCATTCGCGCCATATCTGTTCGTCCGCAGTCGTTCGATGTTCGTCCATGGCTGTCGTCTCGTGACCGCTTTTGGCAAACAATGAGTTCTAGCTTGATGTGTTGACGAGAAATCACGGGGAAGAACTTGGAAGGGGTGTATGTACATCTTGTGCACGTTGCCAAAGCTCGCTAAGCTCCAACTAGATGTCCACTTTCCCACAGCCAGTCCTTCAACTCCTGTGGCAAATCCAACTCTTGCACACCTGGGCGAGCACAGGACCACCAAGGCTAAAGTGGCGGAACAGACCTTGAAAGCTGTCTTCCATTCTGACAGTTCACAACTGCTCCATCCAAATATCCAAACAATTCTGTGAGCAGGACATACCCTGATTTCGACTTGTCTGACAGATTTGAAGGCCCTCAAGTCTGCTTTGAAACACTCTTCAATGAACTCTTCAGTGGCTGAAAACCTACTAGCGATGGCCTCCAGCCTACCAGCGATGGCCTCCAACCTACTAGCGATGGCCTCCAAACTTCCAGTGATGGCCTCCAGACTTCTAGTGATGGCCTCCGACCTACTAGCGATGGCCTCCGACCTACCAGCGATGGCATCCAACCTACTAGAAACGGCCTCCAATAGCCAAAGAACTACCATTGTGAGCGATGAGTTTGGTGCGCATCTCCTCGTTCCAAAGATTTCGAGCAATCAAATCCTTCAGGGAGCTGTCTTGCTGAATCGCTTCAGTGATCTTCAGTGTACTCGCATATATGCAGATCTGAATCGTTGTAACCGCCATTGCAAAAAAATACCTAACATCTTAACCGCAACTTCACATCTAACGCTTCGATAAAACTGGACTCGTAAGTCTCACTCTCTTCGCCTTCAAGAGGTGCCGATTCACCTGGGGACTGCGATACATCATATCAAAAAATGTAATGCGGCATCGGACGAACGCTACGATTTCGAACAAAGTCTAAACAAGCAGCCCCTGGCCATACTACTAGTAACAAGAAGCTACTAGGGGCTCTTGAGCTCCTGGCCATACTACTAGTAACAAGAAGCTACTATGGGCTCCTGGCCTTACTACTAGGAGCAAGGACGCTACTAGGGGCTCCTGGCCTTACTACTAGTAACAAGAAGCCACTAGGGGCTCC